ATGCTCTTTTGACATGTTGGTGAGCTTCTCATGATCACTGCTAAACAGGACAATGTCGTCTGCAAAAAGTAGATGGCTCGCGTGTTGAAAACTCCATCCAAAGCCAAGGAGAAAAGTTTTGGGAAAATTGAGTCTCCTCTGTTTATAGGAATTTTTTTCTATGTTGTGGTCTTCCGATTTTTTCACGTGAAAAGTGGCATTCTCATAGCAGTTCGTTATCAGAGTCGTTAGTCGACCCTAGCCTTATCCAATTCATTTAGTACTTTAATTTTAGTATTTAGTTAGCGAAATTTAAAAGTAAGTCGCAATGAAAACATCTAAATAGTGATAAGTTGAGGATAACGAGTTCCGAATCCGACAATAATATCTGTATTTTAATGTGTTTTATGTGTATGTATTATAATAATGTACAATTCATCACTGAACTGCTCAACTTCACAGTATACGCTCACTACTAAACATCAGTTTTCATGAACAGAAATAGTATTTTGACATCATTAGTTTCTGATACAAATAAGTATCTATTTCAAGGTGTGCTAATCTCAGGCACCTCACACCGTTTTCGCGCCCATTGCCATCAGTTTCATCTGCACGCTGTTGTTAAAAAAGTACTTTTTTTGGTGGAAATGAGCAAAGTTGAAAAAACGGCAGCGATGCCCTGCGCGAAAACTTGTGTTTTTTGAGAGCATGTTTTAATGAAAATTAAAAAGTTCTGAATTGTTTCTCATGGGTAACGCCTTAGCATAAGTTCATTGGTTCTCTTGCGGCCACTTTCATTTCTTCAGAAAAACTAATTCGCTTTTAATAAACAACAGACTGGTTTCGCGCGAGTATCAAGTAGAAGATTTTATCTGATTAAAGTGTCCACAGTGAAAATAAATTTGATGCATTTTTAACATTGTAATACATTTTTAGTTTCTAACAGTCGGTTTAAAAACTAACCTCAAACATTCTGTTCCACTGACAAAGTTCAGCAATTTAAAATAACCAGTGGGAAATTAACCATGATGCATAATCGACATTGTTATATATTTTAATTTTTGAAGAACACAATATAATATTTAACCACAATTGCTTTTCTGGGTATTAGGCCTTTTAAAGGAATTTGATCTTAGAACCAAATTCTTGTATTTACTTACTTAAATTCTTCCTAATACCTAAAAAAAGTAGTAATAGCTAAAAAACTGAAAAATGTTGTTCATATCTCCAAGTAGGTAGGTATACAAATATTTTTTGAAATACATTTTTTGAATCTTAGCTTTACTTCACGTGTGAATTTAGGCCAAAATAATCGAACTAAAGTTATCTATACTCAAAAACTGTATTTTATATTATAAAATAATTTATAATATTACGATGCAGTGTATCATAGGTCTCGCCTATTTACTCTAAACACAATGTTAGTTTACTATCATTACTATTAAATCATATTATTTTGGTACGGTTCAAATAAAATGCCGGAAACCTTCAAGTACGAAGGAGTTAATGTGGGGGAAAGGAGAATCTAATGAATGTGCAATAAAGTATTATTGTAACCGGTGTGAATGTCAAGAACAATAGAGTCATGCATATCAGTATGAAGAAGACAGAATCAATGCAATAAGAACTACAACTGAAGATCGAGTGAAACATTATCTGACATTTAATCATAATGCAAATGCACCACTTCCGGTAGTAGTTTATCCAGGTCAGACAGTTTGACCTGAATGGAAACGCATTTAAAATTTATTAATGTGCGACGAGTTGCAATATTAGAACGGGTAGACTTCTTGAAATTGACTATAATTACAAATATTCCAGCTAAAATTTTATTTTAAACAATTTCCGGTAACATCCCCAACGATCGAAAGAGAATTGCTAGAAGTACGCCGTTCATGTTTCCACTCAATATTTCATTGGAGGCTTGAATTTTAAATCGCAAACTATCCGAAAATAGCGTGCATTCGATCCAACTCAATTTAGTCCTTGGATGTAGATAATTATAGGGTAAATCTGTTGGGACATTATATATCATTTAGCGTCCTATTGTTTTCGTTAGATGCATTCGTTCTGGAGTTCGTAGATTTAATGAACACTTCAACGGTATCTTAGTACGTACGTACTAAAATGCGTTACTGTATATTCAAGATTAAGCTCTTGATAAATGAACTGCAAGTTTGCCTGGCTGATTTGCAAGTGTAAGATTGCAGCAATTGTAAGCTTGGTGCTCACAGTGTAAATTTGAAAAATAAACAATCCTTTACACCCATTAAATTTAACCTGATTTTTAACTCTGCAGATTGAGAGTTCACTGTACTTTGAAAGTCGACTGCAGCAGTGCATACTACTGTCAGTTTGTTTTTTCACCCGTCCGAAACGGAAAATATTGTTTATTCAGCAGCTGTGTGTTTTTCCCTTTAATAACAATATAACAGGGAACCCATTGTGTGGATTTTATTGTATTGCGTTTCTCCACGGGCTCATTAACTGCGCTTTGTGAATTTGGAATTAATGGAATATCTAGAAAAACAGTATTAACCGGCTCGTTTGCTTTTGACTTTATTAAGGTCAACCAGATTGTTGGTAGACAATACCATTGCATATTGTTTAATGCTGTGGGAATGTTGGTAGATTCATCAATAACTCGCAGAATAATATCAAACGTAATAACTAGATGTTCTTATATACCTATGGGGTTTTGGCTTAAAGTGACCAAGTGCAAACTTTCCGTATTTGTGTTTGTTCTCCAAGTAATAAAAAAAAAAAAATTTGTCTTCAAGAACTGTCGAAGTCCCCCACGGCCACACAAACAGGCGCACTAAAATATGTTTTAATGACCCAGTTTCCAAAAGGATTCTAATATAATATTTCGCTCGGTTTAAAAGTGCATTTACCATAAATTCAATATATAATTCACAATGCAGCAAATATTTGTTGCACATTGTCTGAGTTATTTATAGCCAAAAATATGACAAATAACGAAAACAATAAACAACATTAAATAATGTCTTTGAAATAATTTTTTTATTAAAATTCTCCAAGTGGTCGAGTTATTTAAATATTGCTGTCCATTTTGATCCTCCTATTTCAATGATTTTTGGTGCTCAATAGGCAATAATAAATACGGATTTCAGGGGTGCTTTGGAAGTGAAAAAACCCGTCCAATATGAATGTCTTAAAATGCACTTTTTGCAAAATTGAAAAATAACCCTAAAGATTGGCTTTTAAAACAGTTGCAATATTGTTAGAAAAAAGCTTCAGAATATTTGACTTAAGTCATAGTCAAGCGAATTGTTTTAAGCCTGACCATTGATGAAGTAAATATTCAAATAAAGTTCAGTCCGCAAAATGACCCTACAACGATCGAAGTTACAATTTAACCATTTTAGCCAATATGAAAGAAAATAGCTGACTATACACATTTTCACCAAATTTGATAGAAATGTTAAAATTTTATTAGATCTAATGTATGTTCTCACTTTTTATCTGTAATTTATCTATGCAATTCATAAAAATATGCGTTTGAAACTTTGAAGTTTTACTAACTTTTTCAATTTCCTTGCCCAGCTTTTGGGGCTTCCGAGACTTTTGCATTTATTAAGAAGTATTCTGATTGCTTCTTCTAATACACTGTATTAGATGTATTTGGTAAACACAATGGAAAAAATTAATCTTCAACTGTTTGTATTTCCTTATAATTCCAAAATTAAAATCAAGTCCTGGGTTCTTCAGTCATTTATTTATTGTTCATTTATCAATTTAAAAAAACGTTTCGGTGTTTTCCACCATCATCAGCTCAGTATATCATACATTAATTAAATGAAATAAACATAAAATTTTAACTAACACCCGGTATATTGAAGAATTTTGCAAATCAAAAATAATATTCTTAGAATGCAAAGAAAAATACCTGAAAGTAAAAGAAATCAATATAAACAGTATTTCGCTTTGTGTTGCAAAATGGACAAAATTAATACTCCAAATACATGCCAAGGCGTAAAGTAGCAACAACGCTACACATGTAAGTAAAAATAATTGAACATTTGAACAAAGAATTCTAGTCTCTTCCCAGAATTGATTGTCCTAGCTAATCACCTGTTAAGACCAATTAATCTCAGAATATTTTAAAATGTTGCAATGGTAATGTATTTTAGTATGTGATATAACAAGCTATTGACAAACTGTTATTGTTTTTTAGATTAATGAGAACATTTAAAATTTTTTATTTTTTTGACTACCTGTTATTTTAGTAAAACTGATGATGGTGGAAAACACCGAAACGTTTTTTTAAATTGATAAATGAACAATAAATAAATGACTGAAGAACCCAGGACTTGATTTTAATTTTGGAATTGAAACACAGTCAGGAAAGTACGTACAATTTCCTTATAATACCACATGAATATTTTGTTATTATTATTGTTAATAATTAAATTAATTGATAAGAAAAACGAAGTGAAACTTGGATAGCTGCTAAGTTCTGTCATCTCAGATAGTTATAATATGAGTTCAATATCTCACATATTGCTCAGGGCCTAAAATTAAACATTTTGTTGGATTGTAACTTTTTTGTTGGAGTTAATTTTACAAACGTAACAACGTCGCTCTTTATCAGAATACATATTTCCAATTTCGGTATACTGTTTTATTTTAAGGATCCTTAGTTTCGTTCGGTTCGTTTCGATTCGTTCTATATGTTTTATTTGCCATTTACATTTAATTACTAAAATAATTGCAATAATTTCCACTCTGTCATCCTATCTGGCCACAATTTGCGCAAATCTCAGTAATTAATTTTACCAGCCATATGACAAGTATTATTTTGAAACTATGCCTGCAAAAAACCTGAACTAAGAAATTCCATTTTACGACGGTCTAAAAACACGAAAAACCCACTAGTTTCAAGGAATGGCCTCGAAAGTATCTTTTTTGATAAGTATTATTTCAACACATTTTAATAATAATATATTTTATATACAATTGTTATAATGTAATAGCTGACTGATGTTTGATTGTTTCAGACCCAATCATAGTAGCCAATCTAACGCCCATGTGTCGGCAGCGGAGTTGTACAAATCGTCCAGGTCACCACTTTCCAACAGCAGATGCGCCTATCCTCCGACCTCCCAGCTACAGCCTAACCCGCCGAATATCCCTCAAGTGCAGGTAAAAAGAAATACTATTTCTTTTAAATATTTTTCCAGTTAATATATTTGCCCATTGTCAAGAACTTTTGAAATAGGCTTTTGCATGATTAAGCATAAAACAGTGCCGGTTTAAACCCCGGTAATAATTATTTCTCTTTGTTTGGAAGGACCAATCTAACATAAACTAGTACAACATATCTAATCAATTTTAATCAAATATGTGGTGGTGGCACATCAGGATTAGTACACTTAGTGAAGAGAATGCATTTTTAACTTGCTGACCTTTTGGCGAATGAACGATAGCCGTTCAAACATAGAAAATGTTTTTAATTTGTATTTGTTGTCGAAAGTTTACTGAACTGTTTGCCACATATAACGCTGTAATATTAATTGTGCCACTTTTAAACAAGAATCGACACGCAATTTAATTGTCATAGTGATGCTAACTACACTAACTACTTAAGTATTGGCACTTCAATACTAATTCATTTTTATGCATTTGTACTTTGAGAAAAAACTTGATATGTACATTTGAAATTATTCGACATTTCGGGAAAAAATGCCTCAATTCAGCAATTGTTCCTAATTTCAAATTATTAATATCAAATTTAATTTGATGTTAACATTTACAATTTTTAGTTGTAATACATGCTGTTTAGAATACTTGGTAAACACTTAAGATTCTTGGCAGTATATGCAGCAGTTGAAACCCGTGCTTTCATATGGTAGTTGACTGTTAAAGTTTCACTTTTAATTATTGTCCTCTTAAGAGGTTTGCTATCAAAAAACATCATCATCCTCAGTCTCTCCGTCCATTTCTGGACATAGGCCTCTTCTATTCGTCACCATTCACTTCTGTCTGTCGTTTGACTCATCCATTGGGCACTTGCCAGTTTCAGGATGCCATCCTTCCACCTCGTTCTTGGTCGTCCCTGGGTTCCTTTTAGTTGTTGTGGGCCTTCACCGTTACTGTCTTCCTGGTACATCGATTATCATCTGTCCTCAACAAATGACCAGCCCATTTCCCTTTTAGACTCGTCACCCGTTCTGCGATGTCTATCACTTTCTTCGTCACGTCACGGTCTTGTATTCCTAGCATTTTGCTCTTTGATCTGAGCTTGAGATTTTTCTTTGAGCAATTCTTAAACGCTCCATGGTCCCCTCATTAAGGCTCCATGTTTCTGCGGCGTACGTTAAGGTCGGCGGACACATTGGCCAAAAACTTGTGTTTTAAGGTACTGTGGAAATTTGGAATTAAACTCATCACTAAGCTTTCCATATGCTGTCGATGTCTTCTGGCGGTCTCCGCTCATTGGCTGTCCTTGTCGAAGGATATTCTTTGTCCGAGCTACACGTACTCGGCTACAACTTTAATTTTACTGTTGTTGTGAAGGTCAACATCTGCGACATTATTGGAATTATACATTACATACTTTTGTTTTTGCTGCGTTTATTTGTAGGCCGTAGCTTTTTGCGGCGCCGTTTAACTCCTGTAGCATCGTTTTTAAATACTCTCTGCAAGGAGTACAATATCGTCCACAAAGCGAAGGTTATTTAATTGTTCACCATTGATGTTAACACCTTTGGCTTCCTATTCAAGTGTCTTAAAGATATCCTCCAAAGCTGTTGTGAATATTTTAGGGTATGTTGCATCTCCCTGTCTCATGTACTACTCGTCGTGGTAGAGAGGTTTGGTCAGCTGTATATGCCGACTATCGATACGGTATCTCGTTAGAGCATTAAAAAAAGCCGAGTTTTCAAGTGTATCGAACGTTTTTCCAAAGTCCATAAAGCGAGGAAGAACTGCTGATTATATTCCGATGATTTTTCTATTATTTGCCTTATTGTGTGAATATGATCAATCGTACTGTACTCCTCACGAAAACCGGCTTGTTCCACTAGCTGGTAACTCGGTTTGTTTTTATTCTTGTCTCCTTTCTTATAGAGGATAATCACGTCCGCGTTTTTTCATGCTCGAGGAATTACATCTTTATCTAAGCTGTCATTAAAAAAATTGCTTTGTTATTTTGCATTTTCTTAAGTCCAGTTTTAATTTCATATTTGCGTATGTGTGGTAGATCCTGGATGTGGTGCTTAGTTAATTTAGCTCTCTTATCTGTTTTATCGCGAGGTTTCTCTCAAACTATTGTTGAATATAGGCCTTCATAAAATCGTTTTAAATAGTCAATAATTTCGGTCCTTGTCTTGAGTTTATTTCCGTTTTCGTCTTTTAATGATGTTATTTCGCATTTTCCGGGTGAGATTCTTTTTCTAAATAGTCTTGGCCTTTTGTTGTTTTCTATAACTTCCTTTATTTTATTGTTTAGTTTATAAACATCAGTTTATGCCTTTCATATTTTAAATTAATCTTAATTTTTGCTCTCACAAATATGTGATCGCTGACGTGTATGTTATTTAGAACTCTAACATCTTGAATTATATTTCTTCTTTTTGTAATAATAAAATCTATCTTGTTCTTTGTTTGACCGTGCGGGCTTATCCATGTCATCATGTCAACTTACGTCCTGCCTTTTTATGAAAGAAACAGTTTACTAGTTTATGTTGATTTTCTTCTAAAAAGTTTACCAGCATCTGGCCTCTCACTGCGATCTCCCACCCCATTCACTTCCAAACAGGTCTCTCTTTTCTGACGTTTTCCGATCACACACTATTTAAAAGTGGGTTCTGTTTTCATCCATTGTTCTTGCTACCGCATCGTACATTTCATCCATCCTCTTCTTGTCTGTATGTGTGGTGGTTGGTGCAATTGTATTAAATTTAGTTGGTATCGCTGTGTAATGTTTATTACGATGTATGCTACTCTTGCCGATATTGCAACCGTAGGCTAAAAACCTCCTGAATGTCTAGGCTGAAAATATTTAATTATCTCAATACTATTATTGAAAATAAACTTGAAAACAGAGTAATTCTATTGAGTTAAAGGTTTAAATTATCGGTTATTAAATGGTCATTATTTTGGGGACAAATCACTCTTGTTTCGATGAAAGACTCTGGGAGTGATGGGCGAAAGGGACTTAATGGCTGAACCGCAATCATTGTTATACTAAGAAGAATTTGGAGTAAAATTTAATAGAAACATCATAAGTACAGAATCTGTAGAGGACATTCTGGTGAAATGTTTCTATTGTCCGCTGATTGCGGGACCTTAAATATGCCAGAAGGTCTGATTCTGGCCGGTTTTTATATAAAAGGCGCTCACAGTTTACGTTTTTTTTTTGTCAGTAAACCATGAGATATCAATAAAGCACCACTGCACAAAACTAACAGAGCTGCCGTTTGTTCGTCGTCAGACATCTTTTTCGCTCGTTATACTAATCGAACTAAAGAAAGCTCGTGGAAAAGTCGTCCCGTGTTTTTAGTGGGAGCCACATTGGCTCGTCTCGGATGAGACTCAATCAAACATAATTACTTTTGGGAAGCGAAAAAGTTATCTAATTTTACTGCGGAAAAACCTCAAGTTGTGCGCAAGAAGCAAAAACAAAACCCGTGTCAAGGTAACATTAACTATTCGTACATATATGTAAACCACATTTTTACAATATGTAAAACCCTGCAGTTTTCTGCGTAGAGCAATAAAAGTAAAACAACAGCAATGTGAAATTAAAAGGCAAATAGAGAACAAGAGATAATTAATTCCTGATGAAATCATAAATTCCTATTTATATTCAATTGAGTAGATTTCCATGATTCAAAATTTAATTTTTAGATTCATTTCATCTTTTTATGCAACACAAAGCATTTATACAAATACATGTACATTTCAGTACTCCAAATTCTGCGACTCATTAAGTATGATTTTTACCACAGCAATGCGCAATTTATGACAGCTTACAAGAATTAATGTGCGAATGGGCACAACTTGATGGTAAAAATTTTTTTTTTTTGATAATTTGCAAAGTTGGTAGACCAGTAAAGATATTGCTTTTGTAATTATTCTACAAAAGTTCGAGATTAACGCGAATCTGTTTATTTATTAGTGTCGAAATGCACTTAATAAGTGTCACATGAGAGTTACATTGTAAAACAGATTAACGCAATAATAATTTGTGGTAGTCAATATTTAATTTTGTTCTGATTGAATATGGGTGAACGTTTTCATGAGCTTCCGAATATGTCTGCAAATGTAACATGCATTGAACAATCTGAAATGGAAAATAAATAACTAAGTGTATAACAAACAGCAAGATGTAGTGATTATTGCATTCTGTTCTGAAATAGATATACTCCTCCAAGCAGGCCTTGAAATAAACGAAGCCTTAAGCATGTCTTTCCTTTTTCCATCTAACCTATTTTTAACTTTATAATCTAATAGTCAAATGTACAATTAGCTGTAACCTAGACCCAGGAATAAAGAGCATGCATATTTAAAAACTGCATGTTTTAGGTTTCTCAAAGGTATCCCACACAAGGGCCGGCCGCCTCCGTCACCGCCCCCGCAGCTTCTTCCCTCCTTAGTCCGGCTACTGCCTACCACCGGCCGCAGCTGGACTACCGCCACACAAACAGGATTTCGTTACTCCATCCAGAATATGGACCTGGAGGACGCAGAGAGGCGGCAAGTGGAGGTGCAGGTGGACAACCTCCACCGACGTCATCCTCCGAACAACCACTCAAAAAGATTCGGTTGGCAGATGAGATGCAACCCCTGAGGATTGATACAAGAGTATGTATTATTAATTATCATATACTAACTGCTGGTTTCCTACTGGTGATAAGAGTAATCGAGTTGTTTTTATAATCGAGAATATCTCGTCTCGGAATAATAATTCGAATTATGTAATCGAATAAAATTTACCTATGGCACTGTTAACAGGATGCAATGTAAATCCCAATGCCGATTTGTTAACATCCGAAAATACAGCAATTTTTAAGAAGACATGGATGTGAATGTGCTCTTTGTTGAATTAGTAAATTGCATTTGCTTCAAAGTTTCAATAAACCGTTTTCGCGTTTTACAGCGAAATGTTTTATTACAAAAATATGACTTGTGAATATCTATTTGAATATCAGCAAATTCCATTTGACTTGGAGTGAGCCAGTGGAGTTGCAGTTTTCAGTAAAACAGACTGGAACTCGAGTTGTGTCCTGCAAAACAGTGTGTTGAATTACAGCTTCTTTTGATCAGTAAAATCATATTAATATTTTAAGTTAATATATTTTGTCTTTAATTTAAATTACTCAGCTTCAAAATATTTCCTGGTGCTTTTAGATCTTGTTTCTTATTTATTTCACTGTTTCTCGTCAGCAGAGCCTCATTCGATTCTTTTTACCCGTACTTTCAACTAATTTGAACCGAGTTCTTTCACAGCGGACCTAAGTAGGTACTTTTATTTCAGTTGATCAATATTTTCGTTTCTATTCAAATTATATCAAAGTATAGCTTTTAGCACTTTATTGCCACAGTAAATACATTTTAAAGACAAATTGAATATTCTTTTGTGTTCCGTAGCGATCAAATTGCCTACAAAATTAATTTTTTAATTGCTTAAGCTTCTCATCTCTTTATCTGCAGTTTTTGGTCTTTTGTGTTCTTGTTTTGAAAGCGAACTTTTGCCTCCTGAATTCGTCTTATTAGTTAATACAGAATTATATTGGTGTATAATTAATTTGTTACATTTAAAAAGAAATCAAATTCGATTCCTTCCATAATCGCATAATTCGAATTATCCCTACTAGCAAGTAATAGAGATTAAAATAAAATTTTTTGAAGCGACCGTAAATAATTATTACTTCTTACTATATCAATGTTTTTTTCAGCCTGGGACTTACAATCCTCAAGTGGAAGCCATCTCGCCTATATTTCCCGAACCTATTTCTCAGGAAGACCAAGTATTTAAAACGACTAAAGACAGGCTGATTCAGCAAATCAGCAAAGTGGATCGGGAAATCTTGAAGGCGGAACAGCAGATAGTCATCTTGAAGAAGAAACAAGCTGAATTGGAGGAGGTAGCAAACAAACCAACAGTGAGCAAGGAAGTTGAAGAGGATGCAGTCCCAAAAAATCAAAGCCTACCACAGGTAAGTTCGAACTTCTGTCTCAATTTTCCCATCAATTAATCTGCTAATTCTCCTAATAATTAAGTAATAATAAGTCACTATATGTGTCTCTTGATGTAGTACTGAATTTCACACTCAAATCATTATTTTATTGTCTCCTAATTTTTTGCATGAGTAATTTTTATATCACTTTTTGTTATGATATTGTCGATAGAAAGATAAGAGTTATTTTACTGAATTAATTTATAATTATTATTATTCTGGATGTTTTCATATTAGGCGCCATACCAAACTAAATTTTTCTCTATTCGCAACACCTATGGATTAATATGTAAAAAAAAGTTCTTGTCAGCCTGAGGGAAATCCCTAATTTTGTTTTCCTCTCTCATAAATATGTTAACCGTTTTTCAATGCCGCATATTTATGCAAAACAGACAGACAGACAACAGAAAATCGTTTATTGATTCTGTAGTTGATGTTGTCGACGCTTAGACAAAAAAATCAGGAAACACTTATGATAAAGTAGTAAAACACAAGCCACAGTTTGGTTCTAAGTAATATTTTCTTATTATTTGTACATCATGTTCTGTTATTTTTTCAGAAAATTTATGCAGATAATAGAAGAAGGGCTCAAAGCGCGCACGCTTTACTGGACTGTTTAGGGCCCAAAGTTGAATGGCCCCTTTACAATCAACCGACTGATACTACCGTGATCCACGAAAATATTCGTCGAAATGTGATGTTTAAAAAACGCTTATTAGAATACTTTAAGAAGAAACATGCTGAGAGGCAGGCCAGGTAAGAACCTAAGCTTGTTCACGGGGAATTTAACATATGTACCTACATTGATGTCGAACACGCCAATAAGTTATATTTCGTTTCCAGAAACAATCAATTATCGGCGACATATAGCAAGTTAATGCAAGAATGGATTAGAAAGTGTGACAAAATTGAGTCCAGTACAAAGAGGAAAGCGAAAGAGGCGAAAAATAGGGAGTTTTTCGAGAGAACTTTCCCTGAAGTCAGACGAAAGCGTGAAAATAAAGAAAGGTATTTTTATATGTTTATATAATTTTAATGATATTCTATGGTATAGTTCTTCAGCTAACATTATTTATCGAGGACAAAATGAACTATAATAATATCTAAACTGGTTAAGGGTATCTTCATAGTACAGCTTGAAAATGAGTCATCTGCAAAAACCAGCTGCAAGTTATTCTGGATAGATGTAGATATCGCGGGTGTAGTAAATTATACAACTTTTGGGCTTTACTGGATGAATCATTAGAATTAGGCAAAGAAGAAATTCAATTTTCACATGTGAATGCAAAATATTGCTTACTAGATAAATATTGTACGCATCCGCTTTCGTTGATATCGGTGTCAAAACCAATGTTCTTTTTTAATTGAAATAATGTTTGTTGTGCGGTTTTAATGAATATTGTAGTAAAATAATTCATGAAAAATTTTCACGTAAACTGATAATTGCACTCGTAGTGAACCCTAATATTTTATTGCTGAATTGCTTGTTTCTTCATTCTTCATCGTCAAGTAGAAGAGCAATTGCACATTTTCAAAAATTTTCACGTAAACTGATAAAGCACAGCACCTTTCTACATTTGAATGGAACGAATTCAATTCTCGGTCGGCAAATTTGATTTGGATTGAAATCTAGAATTAAAGCATCTTATCATTCCATATGTTTATTTTGCATATTGCAACAGCAATTTTGCACCTTTCAATGAAATTCATATTTCAGGTTTAATAGGGTTGGGTCGCGAGTCAAGTCAGAGGCAGAAATGGACGATTTTTCCGAGCAACAGGAACAAGATAACGCTGATAGGCGAATGCGCAGTTACGCCGTGATACCTCCCATCTTGCTGGATCCAAAGGAAAAGCGCATAAAATATACGAATAATAATAATTTCGTTGAAGATATGGAAGAAGTTTATCAGGTATTAAAAATATTACTTAATCCATGTTAAGGCAGTAGTAAATCTGCTAGGAGCCCGAGTTTATTTGCCTTTTAGTTAATATGAGAGAAAATTAAGCCTAGTCTACCGTTTGTAAATTTCTCGTTTACGGGCGAAACTGAAAGCACTACAATTTTTCAAACATTCATGTCAATATCAAATATACCCGATCCTGTATAACCTTCTCCTGCAAGGGAAATTAGAGTTTATATTACATGGCATTTTCAGAAATTTTATGAATGCATTGAGTGCAGATTACAAAAAGTTTATGATGGTGAAAATAACTCGTTATGACTTAACTTTCAATGAACCAAAATTATTCATCTATATTCTATCTTCAATTATGCTTTCTCAGTTACACACCATACCGGATATGATATTAAAAATTGTATGTATTTTAAGTCCGTTATTTTTATTTTGGTTTTTCTATAGCAACTAATTAAGTTTTTTTAGTAAGTGATTAAAGAGTCACAAGCAACTAGAAAGCTACATTTGTTATTAAACAATATTTGTTTTGTAGAGTCGTCAATACTTAAACATTTGGACGGCCCAGGAAAAAGAAATATTTAAGGAAAAATATCTTCAACATCCGAAAAATTTCTATCAAATCAGCCAAGCTTTGGGCGAGAAAAAATCCGTTTCGGAATGTGTTAGATTTTACTATCTCAGTAAGAAGACTGAAAACTATAAGCGGCTTTTAAGGAAAAACCGAAGAGACAAATTGAGAGAAAAGATGAGGCAATCAAGGAACTCGGGGAAGATTAATAATAATGCCAATTTGTCTGTTGTTGATAACTTGTCGACAGGTTTGTAATAAAGAACTGTTTGAGATTTGTTCTGAGACTATTTTTCTTATAGGTGTCACAACGAGATTGCAGCGAGAGCAGCAGCAGCGTACCGAAGGATCAGCTCGGTCTTCTGATACGTCTACGTCCGCTGTCACTGCAGTATCAGCAGAGGCAGCTACTACAACGTCATCACCTCCACCACCAGCTATTGGAACTACAGCGGCTCTCAGCCCTCTCAATGCAGGTGCAACGACAACGTCTAGTTCGACTTCGACAACTACAAGTGGTACTAACGTGCTGTCTTCCGAGTGGAGTGGCACAACTATTACATCAACAGCCCAGGTATGTATATATGTCAGATAAAGGGGGTTCGAATAAGAACGCCGGGTTTGAATGTTAAATAAAACGGATATATTTGCGGCAGAAGTTTAATACTTTTTGACATAAGACATTGCACAAATAACCGCCGTGGATTTACTGGCACAGGCGGGCTCTTTTAATTAAATTTTCAAGTAGTTTCGTATGAAATATGTAGTATTTCAGTGATGTCAGCTTTAGTTGTTGTTAGTTTGTTAACATAAACGTACAACATTAAAAAGCCCAAACAGTCCAATGGCATTAAACCGCATGATCCGAGCGGCCAATGCCAATCTCCAAAACGACCAAGAAATTACTCGTGTAGCGAATCGACAGTTTTTCGGGCTGTATGATGCACGCCCTGTTGAAGCCACATGCTGTTGAGTTTCATTTTTTACTATTCTAGTATAAAAAGTTAGTTAGTTTTTAAAGTTAACCCATTAGCACCCAGCGTCAACAATATGATAACGGCTGCAAGGTAGATTTCAAAGCTAAAATGTGCCATTGCGTGGGCACTATTTTAATAGATGGGCTTAAAGATCGGTTATAAATGATTGAGCCCTTTCGGCAGCTAAATAATTTAGCTGTTTCATGTTGCATTGACAGAACGGGTTTAGTTTCGAAAATATTTTCGTTTGGGTAAAGAGCGGTTCAACCTAGATTTGAGTAACTTTAGTTCAGTTATTAGTTCGAAACTCCACGTAACATCTCTAACATACCAAGTAAACATCATAGAGACCATATTTAGATAGACAAACGACATTTAAAAAGTTATGAGACTGTTTAAGTCAGTGTTTTTTCATTTTCGCATTTGTTATTTCAGAAAATAATTTTCTCTCAAAGGAAGCTTAGAGATTGTATATGGTAACTAAGTATATAAAAATCCGATATTTTTATCGAGCCACCAGGTTGTCGATTAACTGACGAAATTACTTACTTCACTTTAAAAATACGTACTTTGTACGTACAATTGCATGCACAAACCTTTTCCGTCATAAGTCTGGCTATCTCGAGCCAGGATTTTCTTAAAATGCTATTATTTTCGTGTTGGGGATGCTTATGATTCCAGAACACCGAATGTTGTATTATCGGTTGTATTAATGCGGCGTTAAGATTGTCGTCCATTACTAGCAATTTATTAAAAACAGCACTTTAACACTCGTATTTGATGTACTGTCGAAACATAAACATTGTGGATAACCTAGTTATTCACCTACTTCCGCACGGATGATGCGGAAAAATATTAAATTTGGGAACATCTGGGAAGAATGCGGAGAGAACGCATGCGAAGAGCTATGATTGATCCGAAGGTTTTCTGCACTACGCATTCGGATACGTTCCGAACGAATACAAAACCGGCTTTAGTTATAGAAAAAAACTAACTAAGCCACTGGATTCCACGTGAAGAGCTCTACAATTTTTCGTTGCATATTCGAGATTCAAGAGAGTGTCGAAAAGTACAGACTTTTCAGAAATACCCTATATCTACGAAATCAAGAAGGAGGAGCCACATCTATTGTTGTCATCTTTATTTTAACAAAAATCGGTACCAGTGTCGCGAAAATCGCATGTCTCATCTTCAATAATACTTAACTGGGATTACGACGAAAATGATATGGCCATTGTCGATTAATCTATTGTAAAGATTCATATTTACGTTTCATTAAAAAAATTAGTTTTTTGGTCCTGAATTTGTCAAGTATATTTTAAGCACTATGAAACTTCAGTAGCATATGAATTAATGGAACAACGAATTCTGACTAGTAATCAATATATGTGGAACTTAAAAGTGCGCCATCTAGTGAACTGAGCAAAAATTCCAACTTTATTAAGTTTTTTGACTCAGTTCACCATTCAGTCGTTTGAAGTCGCGTTGTATAATCACTGTTGTATATTATGTTATAGGTAGAAATAATTTAAACAACGGGGAACGAATTACATATAGTAAATCATTACAGTGCAAGTTGATTTGTTTTCGAGCAGCTTGAATGTTTCACATTTACGTGTTTTATGTTTACTTTTTATATTGGGTGAATGAACGCTTGGAGTCCACTATAAATTTATTTAACATACGACGCGTTTCGGTTATTTATAATATGTAACCATCATCAGGCAGGTAACAAGACCTAAAACTGCGTCGACGGAATTACTGGTGGACCATGTGAAATCCAGTCACATTGCAAGAGTTACAACCCACCTAGATTATGCTCAAATGGAGACCGAGTTCTTGTGGGACTTTAGGTCTTGCTACCTGATGATAGTTATATATTATAAATAACCGAAACGCGTCGTATGTTAAATAAATTTATAGTGGACTCCAAGCGACTCTTCATTCACCCAATATGTTATCAAACCACCACCTCGGATTCAGACAAAATTTGTTTAACGCTTAGACAACATTTATATAAATACAGTTACTGTCTTTGTGAATTCTACTCAGAGTCTTTACAAATATAAAAGGAAAGTCTAAATAGTTTTCTAATGCTTTAAATTGGAACAGAATCGGGTGTCGTGTTGCGTTCAAAAGCGTGGTCGAACTTTAATTATAATAATCGATGTATTATTTCTTATTAAAGACAACCGAAGAAAACGAATATTTTCTTAAAGCTGTATGTAATTCAGTTTAAAGACATGTGGAATTCGTAATTATGTAAACGTTTTATTTATATGTATGTGATAATCTTTTAGTCGCTTTTTTAGTGAGAAATATAAAATTTAAATAAATCGAATATCTGAGCAACCAAACTTCAAACGATCTTTAACTCGAAAGCAGTTTTATGCTGTTTTTAGTTAGTAACTACTGATGGACGTACGTTTTTTTTTATAGATACCTACTTCGGTGTCCCAATCAGTCACCACGATTACCACCACGACTTCTTCGACTGCGGCTGTGACTTCTCTCAGTCCCTCGTCGCCAATATCTTCTTCGGTTGGCTTGACGACAACAGCAACAAACACAACGTCAACCACTGTGTCCTCAATAGCCTATGAGGTCTCGAATCCCGAAAACGCCACCTCGAAAGATATCCAAGGCGTGAAATTTAGTGATTTTAATTCGTTTGAGGACTTTAATAATAGGTGAGTTGAGTTTCAAGTTATATGTAATAATTTAAGATGCAAATCTCCATTCCGATTTTGACATTGTTGGATCTTTTTTAGGGAATTTAGTGGTATTTTGAGACTAGGCGAAAGTTACGCCGGTATGCATAGTCGATCTTCGGCACTTCGCCGGATACTGTTTTGGCGGATAGCGGAGCGTGCCGCCGTCGACGCGAAAGCGGCGGTTTTTTATGCGAAGTTCTTCGTTAGAGTTATTTATTAACGTTAATCACAATTCTGGTGGCCCGCGCCAATTAATTTACCGATAAAAGTTTGGCGCTGCTTGCTGTTTCTTTAGCTCGTGAAGTCGTTTAAAAATTCGGCGCTGCAACGCCGTCAGAGGCAGAAAAAATAAGCGCTTTCCACTGCTGCTAGTTGTCTCGAAGGATAAGATATTGTATAAATAAATAAAAAAATGGCTATTTTTCTAAGAAAAGACACATTAACAGTGAAAGCCATGATTAACATTGAGAAAATCAACCAATTGATTTCGAAACTTCTCTTCCAAACATTAAAAAAATGTAATGTAATGTAATGCAATAATAACTTTGTTTATTTTTATTATTATTACTATTATTATTCAACACACATATAAGCTTGAATTTTTTTCACCGTTGTGTGTGTTGCTTATGCAGCTTTCTAGAATACTATTCAACACTTTTTGGATGGAATGGAAGATATTTAATTTAAGTATTTATTGATGTCTGTAAAAAGTGGAGAAAACATTATCCACAACTTTGTCATTAGACTCAATCTTTTTCAAATTCTCATAATCACTTTGTTTCACAAATTTAAGTTGAAAAACTTTCGATTTGCGATGGATTGCGAAAATCGATTTAAAGATTTTATTAAATGGTTGAAAGGGAGATTTTTATGCAAAAGAAGATGTATATATATAGTATGTTTCGATCGTCTGTGAATAGTTCAGTTGGCGCAACATAATCATCAATCCCAAAAAAATATTTTTAGTCCCAACGAAAAAAATCGGCAACCTCACGGATCAAACCCAACAAAAAAGTTCTCACTGCTGTTTCAATTTGTGTATCTCCAAAACTATAAAAAAAAATCCTGATTGATGAGTTATAAATGCCTGACCGAGGAACAGGTTTTTCGCTCGGTCATGAGCAATCACTCGAAAATGTTTTATTGAAATATCCAGGCCAAGACCTGACAGGTCCGAAACCGGCCCGGGCAGTATACTTGTTTATGACTTATGATATACTAGTTTATGACAGCCTAAAACGTGTTCTATATTCACCTACTTGTTTCTTTACACCTCTTTGATTGTTTCTTTCATCTGTAGGTAACTTTCTGCGAAACTCGATGAATAAAGTTTGTGGCATCTAAAAGGGCCACCGAAAACTTCTCGCGTGTTGATTTCAACATTTTTATTAGCATTATTTGTCTGTATTGGCATTTTGAACGCTTAAAGGTCTCTGCAGACTATCATGCGCGTATCGTTTCCGGCATGTAGCGTTCTGTTTCCGAGAAATATTTTTTAATGATTTTAAATCTAAGCAATTCACATTATCGGGAACGTTTCGTATCAGACTATTACGTTTCCGTTCAGTATTTTCGGACACAACATTTAGTCGTTTTCTAATCGTCGTTTGACAAACTTATTTTATCTTTATTTAGTACAATTTGAAATGGATTTAGAAAAATAATTGCACTCGTAGTGAACCCTGATATTTTATTGCTGAATTGCTTGTTTCTTCATTCGTCATCGTTAAGTAGAAGAGCAATTGCACATAATGTTTTTTTGCAAAAAGCGGGAATACATCTTTACCGGATCAAACTGAAACGTTCAATGTATGAAAATGCGAACACGCAGTCCGTTTGCTGGATTGGAAACGCTACCTGCCGGAAGCGAAACGTGCATGATAGTGTTAACCTTAGATGATAGACCTTAACCCGCAAAAAATCCCTTTTGTTTAGAATTTTCGGACACAAAAATCTCTTCATTTTGAAAATATCAATTTAATTCCATTTAAGGAATCCTGTGCTGGACAATTATCGACTTAAAGTAAATATTTTCCATTGTGATGCTTTATTTTTATATCCTATGCAAAAAGTTTGCCCGCAGCTAAATTATATCTCATCGAAGGTTTACTTTTTGATTACTAAGCTCTTCGTTTTGTTTTATTAACAAGTCTGCTTCAGACATGTCGATAGCTACTAAAACATTTATTGGGACCTTTGACAAATTTCCACTAGGACATATGTTAAATAGGACTATGATAGGATGCCCACAAGGACATCGTAATTAAAACAAGTTCTCCTAGTGGAAAGTTCCCGCGTTAAAGTTATATCCGGAGTTCTTAAATGAAAAAAGTTTAGTCGTAGCAGCTTTAGAAAAGTGGTTACTTCTTAAGATCAGGACAGATATGGGTCAACCAATAACTGACAACATTCATATCCTCTGCTGGAGGCTCGCCAGCAATTTCCCCAAAAGATTGAGTGTGTCTTCTTAAAGGGTTTAATCCAACTTCCAGAACATGAAAACTGTTGTGTTCTATTTTTGGTACTCATTTCAATAGTTTTTTCCTAAAGAATGTGGGCATGTAGACCACGACAAAAGCCCTGTAGCGACATCATCAGCTGCGTTTTTTCAAGTTTTAAAGCGTTAATTGTCAAATATCGCACTGCTTCAAATGTTTTGGATCCTTTGTTTAATTTCATCTTTATTTATGTTTYTGCATTCTTCTTCTTCTTCTTCTACTTGTTGGAGATCTAGTTGATCTGTTGATTCCGTGCTTGCCTCGGTATTGTTTCCTGAGATGTGGACTGCCAGCTGTCTCTCCATCTCTTTGGTGGTCTTCCAGGTGGACGGGTCCCTGCTGGTTTTCCTTCAAATACAATGCGTGGTAGTCTATCGTCGGTCATCCGCTTCACGTGGTTGTACCATTCTCTACTTYTCTGCCTTCCCCMTCTTCGTCGCGTTGTGCTCTAATGTCTATGTTTTTTACACGATCTCTTCTTGTTTTCCCGGCATTCCTCAGTACTCACATTTCGGCGACTCGCAGCATCCTCTTGGTCTTGTTGGTATCCTCTCTCGCTCTATATCAKATGCCATTATGGGCCTGATGTATGTCTTATATATTTTTATCTTACTATCCTTTAAGGATAAGCGCATACAGTTTTCCTTAGACAACCTGATATTATGGCTGATTTGTTAATGTGGTTTCTCAATTCTTTTGCCGGGTCGTGAGCGCTGGATATATCTATGCCCAGGTATCTAAACTGCATGACTTGCTCTATTCTCTATGACTATTTCAGCAGTCAAGTTGGCCTATTTATTATTTTATTTTTTTTTTAAATCTCCTTAAAGATTAATATATGTGAAATATTTTAACTAAAATTGTTGAAAATTATTGTTTTCTTACTGGTAAAAGTTATGTAATTGTAAACGAGTCCAGTATGAACGCACACTAAAGGTGTGCTAAACGGATATTTTTCTGGAAGAGGTTACAACATTGCAGTTTCACTTAGATTAGGTTCCAAGATGCTGTACCAATAGTAACAAGTTACTTTTTAAATTTTTCATTAAAAATTCGCAATGATGATAATGATGATGATGATGATGATGATGATGGTAGAATTAATGATGATAAATAATGATTTAATTTATCAAAAAAGATAATTCTTAACATTTTTAAACTAAAAATTATATATTCTTGAAACAAAACAAAACATGGATCATAAGTTACTACTTAAAGGAAAAACCTGATAATAAAATCGAATGGTTTAAATAAAATATACGCTTTCCATGGGAAAGTGTTTAAAAAGCTAATATTCATCTAAAAATTAATTTACGTTTGACAGTGTTTTTTTGTGTATGATTTTTACTTAGTCTTGTTCTTCGCTCGTTTATGATAGCACCCGCTTTGGGAAATAAGCTCCCGCATGGAACAGAAGTACTAATATACCGGTGTTTTTTTGTTGATGAAGCAAGTTTGTCAAAATATTGAAAAATTTAATAATCTTTTGTCTATTTATTAACTGAACTTCTTCTGATTGAAGAGTTAACAATTACATTAAATAATCCACATTAACAGTAATAATTATAGTCTAAATATTCTGAATTATATCATCACCACAACTAAACAATATTTTGCGGATCTAACCGACTATGATTCCTGGAGAACTGAACAGTAATTATTATAAACGAAAAGTGATACTAGAAAAGCGCAACTACATACAACAAATCTTCCGTTGACAAATGGTTACTGAAACGCTACAACTGGATAGATGACTCGACGGTGTCGCATCGGTTATATGCTGGTACAAACCACTTTTTCTGGTTTATGATACGGTTTCAAAAACAACCGGTTAAATTGACAAAGTAGAACTTCGGTTACAAGTTCCTGTTATTTTAGCGCTTACGTTAAATACGCATTCAGAATGATTAGCAATAATGAAATTAGTAATAACAGTTCTCATTACTTCAATTTTAGTTGCAATAACACACAACATTATTGTATATTTTTGAAGCGCGCGTAAACGATCTTCTATTTTTAACTTTGAACATTTTAGGAAGAAAACATTTGGGGACAATTTGACCGCTCAAGCACCGGCAAAAGAAAATGAATTCGTAACCGGAGATCAGATCGATCAAGAAACTACTCAAGACAAACGAGATGGGGAGAGCACATCTACAACCAGTGAAAACGTGTGGTAAGTTAATTTCAATCCAAATTTGGGTACAAAAGATTTGATAAAAGTAACTGCATATAATAGAACAATAATTAAACGATATTTTTCCAAATATTAATGTTATTTCGTCTAAACTTGTCTTATAGTAACCTATGTAACGTTTATTAAAACCGAATTGCAAAGCCAATACAAAATGATATTCAGTTCATCGCGAAATTGCTTTCATCCGGTTTGATATTTTAGCCAGAGAGCCGAAAGCAAATTTTAAACCGGGGAGCAATCTTTTCAATTGAATCTACCGATTGATTTTGACAAACATAATTTTCATTATGATTTCTCGGTAAGTGGAATATAGAAGGAGAATTTACATTGATGCCAGGGTTGGATTCGGAAATGCTCTTCAAATAGTTGTCAAAATAACCATGAACATTAATTAAAGAGAATATCATTTAAAAGTTTACTAAGAAATTACTTTTTACTCAGATGCAAAGTTTTTTATGGTAGAGTATTTTTTTGGGAATGCAAGCCCGTTCTACTAATGTGAATTACTAACAAAAGAATCATTAGTAAACCTCTGCGGAATGTCTTGTAGTTTTAAGTTGGTAATTATCAGGATCAGGCTCCCGAGTTTGCAGTTAACTATCCTTTCAACTAATACTACCAAAAGCTGCAAAAATGAACCGAAACTTATCCAAATACTTACAAAACGTGCCTGCAAAAAATCAAGTTCAAGCAAAACTTATATTTGTCAAATTCGTGTACATTTTCAAACTGCGTCACCCTAATATCGGTGTGCGAGGCCGCCGGGACGCGATGGCGTATTTTGTTATGTTATGGAAAAGTAATGAATTTCCATGAGGTAAAAGTGGTCTAAAACTGCATTTTTGCCAAAAACGCCACTAAGAAAAGTTGTTGGTAAAGGGATTTGCTATAAGATGAGCATACTGTTAACTCCGAACGAAGACTTGATCAACTAATTAATAGGAAGATTAATAAGTACCTTTACTTTTAGATATAATTTTTATTTCTTTATTGTCAAAGAAATTACGACTGAAAATATCAGTTAGAAAGTTTCGAGTTAATAACTTAACTTTAATGTGGAGTCGGATCTGCTTTCAAAGAGTTTCCCCTTTGGCTCTCTCTGGGGATTTCCCCCGACAACATTAATGCTGAATGCACAATTATCGGAATAAACTTACATATCAATTTTGCAAATTGATACTTGGACTAAGCTGAAATAGTTTAGTCTACATGCAGAGGTGATAGGAAAAGAGCTATTTTTGCAATAAAAACAAATGCTCAATCTTTTGCAACTACTTTATGGGGTAAAATTTGTTATTTTTTACAATTAAATTTTATTACAGTGATCCTAGTGCATCAAATTCGACACCGACGCCAGAAAACAAGAAGAAAAAAGAACGACGGAAAGAAAACGCTAACATGGAGTCTAGCGATGAAGAAGTGGCATCGATGCAAGGTAAGAATACTTCCATATCAACTTATTATAAGAAATTATTATTGGTTATACTTGAAAAGGATTCAGTCAAGTTATGATTTYTGTWGTTAMAAAATTTKTACGCTGAATCTGTYTGTTATCCAATCGATAAATAAGGAAAGTATGTTTACTTAAACAATTCTAAAATTCTMGTGATTTTTTGAACAATTTGTTATTGATAGAGTTTGTAGTTTTTTCTTYTCTTACTTTAAAATGACACTTAGAAATAACCACTTTCAGCGATAAAATTTCCTGGATGCTCGTCYTGTGTTTTTCGCAAAAGTTTGAGCATCTTTTCTAACCTCGCCAATTGATTGAGGTTATCTAGCGCGTCGATAGTCAGATGCTGGATTAATTATATTTCTTTCGAGAATTCAGCACAATGCGGTGTTACCACGTATTTTTGCGTTGTTTTCGATTCGTTAATTTTGAGTTAGTTTGTGTTGGCATGGTTGAAGTGATTTTTTTAGTGAAACAAAAAAATATATACAAAAAGTAAAAATTGATAACCTGAAAAGGCCTAAATAATCTAAACCGACCCAAATTGAATGAATCTACATTCTAGGTCTCCAAGGAAACAATTTTCATTGAYTCAAAACGTTTTGAGCAGTTTGGCAACGTCGCTCGAGATTTAGCCTCAAAATGGTGGTTTTTCTCAAATTTTGTTCGTGTTTTTCGRCTTAATTTATGGACCATYCAGGATTTTTTWTAGCTGAAAGTGCTTATTTTGAAGTGTTCTTTAAGGTAAAAAAATAAAAACAAAAAATTCGGAGAGASTCAAACGAGGCTAGYACCATCTGTTATGCAATCGATAAAYGAGTAACGTATGTTTGCTTAAACAATTCTAAAATTATCGTGATTAATTTTTTTTTATTCTAGTGTKATCCGATTTTGATTATCGATCTTACAAATAAATAAATGCCGAAAAGTTAAAAAACTGACAAGAGGAAATAATATAGGTGAATAACTAAARTACACAAATTATTGATTTTAGTATTTTAATTTGTGTGAATGAGCGTCCAGATACCTCGTTAAATTAACGGTAATTTTATTAAAAACACTATAAGTATGTACGTGATTTTTGATTTTGATCTCGTAACTTTTGCAACATGTATTTGAGCATTCCATAATATTTCAAATATTTTTCGATAGACAAGACACTGCATTTCCTGTATCATCCTAAATATTTCGTTCGATGCAAATTCATGCACCTTAAAGGTGATTTTCACAACACCACTTTTTGTTACTGCACCATTCGAGGCAAATTCAACCCAATGATCATACATAATGATTGATGCGGTTATTCTTTTCTTGTTCTTTCTTTTATTTTATTGTCCAATTTGCCGCGTGTAATTCCTAATATTGTCTTGAAATTTTCCCATAATTTGAAGAAATGTACTAAATCAACTAGTAATATCGGTTATGAACAATGTCTTTGTGCTGCAAGTAATCATAATTGATTGAATGCATTATCATTTCTACATACTTGGTTGTAGGTACTCATGAAACCACTATTGAAAGTAATTACCTTTATTTTGCTTCTACGCTTACGAAAAAATTGAGGATTAACATTCATAATAAATTTTTCATGTTTTCAAAATAATACATTTAGTAACCGTGATATGCCCATTATTTGATTATCCCGTTTACATACCAAATGAAAATGAAGCAATCATGAAAATATAAGTAAATTACTTAATTGAGCGGACTACAATAATGTGTTCTCTAATAAACTACGTGAATACCCTGTCAATTATAATCATACTCTATACAATTACTGGAAATGTTTACATGTTTTATCTTCACATCTCTATTTTACTCTTTATTAGTTTTTATTGATTAACAATTTGTAGTAAAGGTACAGGTTTTTTGTGATAAGGGAATTGGCAATATTATTTTAAGTTATGTCTTGTTCATTTTCATTTTGAACTGCTTCAACATCAATCGCACTGCAACTGCTATTCTCCTCCCTAGTTATGGCAGATTCTACTACAATTTCATTGTTTTTGTGGTTCTTGTCAGCGACTTCTTCGGCATGGCACATTTTTCTATGCTTATGGACAAAATAGTAACTTGGAAATTTGCTGCCGCAAGTTTTACATGGGTAGTACTGCACGTTCATGTCCAGAAGTTTTACTTCCCTTTTAGTTTCGGCTTGAGCACCTTTATCGACACTGACGGGGTAGAGATGGCGCCTGGCATGTTTTTGATAGCAATATTGTGATTTAAATGTATGATTACAATACACGCATGTGAACACTTCACTATGCTGATTCTCTTCTGTCGAGTTCAGTTTCTCCATGATATTTTCATTCATCACTTTATTCATTGCGGTCGTTCTGTTAAAGTCCGTCGAGCTGTAGCTTTGTTGGCTAGATGAAATATCAAAGTTTTCCTCGTCTTGCAGGCCATAATTTTTATTAATCACCCGATGAAACCTCACTGGCCCATCACAACAAGCCACATCGATAATAACCTTTTCCTTATTTGAAGATGCTTCAATTCGCCTCTTGCTGCTGGCTTTTAAGGTATTCGCTTTCTTCTCCTTTACACTGTTAGTTGGACTACGTCCTGTTTGTTTCGTCTCTTCTTTACTGGTGGAAGCTTGACTGAGGTACGATTCCTCTTTCACAGCCCTAAAGGATGTGTTTGTACTTTTTGGTAATTCTCCATAGCTGGCCGGGTTAAAACACTCCTGCATGGACGGAGTCATTTTTCTAGTAGCAATTGGTTTAATGACGTTTATCTTCTGCTGTTGTACCTCGGAGGTGTGCGGTCCTTGTTGAAGCAAAAACGTTCTACATAATTCAAGTGCTCGCGGCATGTGTAGTATGTGGGTAGCCAGTAGAATACTGTAAATGTTAGTAAGGTTGAGGTCCAAGAAACCCGTGTACATGAAGGTGAGTAGTGAGGAGAACTCGTCAACATTAACGTTCGGTACTGAAATCGGCGACAAACCTGAAAAAAGACCCATTTATTGATATAGGTTTTAACATAAAAAACTTATTTATTTGGTAGAATTTTTAAGTTATTTGGCCCACATTTGAAGGTGCACCCAATGGATTTTAATTAGTTTCACAACATATGGCTGACATGTTAAAATCGGATTTGCCGGATTTATCTTGACCTGAAAAACTTCCTATGATAAAAGTTTTTCAGTGTTTTTGTAATTATTTTTTCTTTCAATTTACACTAATTTTGGGTCTCAAAATGTTTAAAAATCATATGAGTTATTTAGAGTAAACTGATTAGACGATATAAGTTTTACATCAGAGGCCAATTTGAATAACCCATTTGAATATTTTAATAATGCTTTTATTATTACTTGGATTTTGTCGTGTAGTTCAGCTGCTTACATAATGAATACTCGAAATCTAATGAGATTTATTCTCTTTTAATGAAATATCGTAGATCAAATACTAAAAATGTGCAGAAAAGCTTCCAAATGGAACGCAGTCTTGAACTTATAAAGGCACTGTTGCAAAGCAATTGATGAACTATAATAACATTCATACCAATAGAGCTTCGGAAAGGTCCGCTTTAAGTCCCGCGTGAATTAAGACGTTGAAATTTTTGTTTTTAATACTTGTTTCACTTTTCGGGGAGAACAATACCTACTGTTTGAATGAGGAGTTGAATTTTTACAAAGTAAATTTATAGTTGCGTCTGAAGTCTAGAAAGTTTGTTCATATGCAGATGTTAATCAAATACAGAATAGTGTATCGGACTAATGTATAAAAAATAATTGATTGATTTAGTTACAAAACTTCATCAAAGTAAACAACAGGGACCTTATTACACAAGATGATTTTCGAGAGTAGCAATTAAAACTAATAGATGGTTCTTTAGAGTTCCAGAGAGGAAAGATGTAGTTATCATAGTAAACATTATTTTACGGCTCTTATATCAAAAGACTATATTACGATTTTATGTTTCATTATATATCCATTTTGTTTTACTTCTGTTGCAAAAATATAATGCAGGTTTTTTTGCGCTTTATAAACACTTTGGATATGTCCCTTGTGAACTGAAATACTAATAGCGACTACTATTTTTGTTAAATGCTGAACACTGAAAGGAGATAAATACCACATTTCTTAATTAATTACTTAATTTTATTTATATGTCTTTCTTATTAATAATTCAAATGTAAATATTTTTTATGCTGAGTTTGTTTCATGGTCTCATCTCATGGCTTGCATTTGATTTTAACTAAGAAAAGATTCGAATCAGTGTTTTTCAAATCAACATCTGGGTTTTCTGATCGTTTCTCAGCAGAATGAATCGTGGTTTCTCATAGTTTTAAACTTACCTCCATGATTGGCTAATGCCGCTTTAAAATATCCACTATGAGCGGACAAAACGCCACGATGTGCCGAAAAATGTGTCATTGTTGGTCCCACTTGTAACGTCACGTCGGGAGCGTCTGGAATTTGTCCAGGAGTCGACACTGAGAGGTTTAGTGGCACTGGAGGAACTGATAATGGAGGTAGTCCAGTGGAAGGATTTAGGGATAACCAAGCTCTATAGAGGGAGTACATTTTGATCTGGAACAATTTAGTGTGTTTTATTGCAGCTAATTGACCAGTTATTTGTGGCAGATTTTTAAAAAGGAGATGATAATGAGATTCTTGTCTAGTACCATTTAACCCGGAAAAAATAAAAAATGTCAAATGGCAGTCTACCTGGAAGGGTGGTTGGGACTAAAAGCACCCAAAAATTCACTTTTTTGCAAACGGATTGATTTCTGCAAAACTACAAGTATTTTTTCTATCAACCGCCCCTTGTTTGGCCGCCGACAAACGGCACGCGACTGAAAGGCGTCTTGACAAAGTGCCGCCACTTTATAACAACCCCAATTTGAAGTCCGCCACACGATCAACCGCCGACACGCCGCCCCCGTTGGGTGGGGGTGACGGTGGCGAATCGTCGTGAATTCACGGTGTCTTTTTGGACCTTTGCCATCATTGTCTTACTTAATGCTGACAGCTATTAGTTGGGTGGTTATCTTAATTGATGCTCATTTCCTAGTTGTAGCTAAGGGCGATCGATGTAAGATGTTTTTAAATTTAAGAAGGCTGGTTTGATTGAATTTTATCCAGTGTGTACAAGGTTATTGATTAAACTTTGGTCATCCGGTTTTTACATCTAATTGAAAATTTAGGAAAAACATTAAATACACAAGTTATACGTAATAAAGTCTAGTTTATTCAAAGATAATACCAGTTTCACACAGGTTGTCTCACATTCAAGTGACGAAACTAACTTTCATTTTTTAAATAGAATGTCGCACTTTTTATTGCATATTCGAACTACACGCAAAATTCTAGGACAATTCGAAATGACACATCTGCCGGTAGTACAGTGTTATTTCTTGAAGGTGTTTTCTCGATATTTTCATGTTTTCTCGATATTTTCCATCTATTTGAATAAAGTTGATCGCAAATCAAATCGTGATTGACGCTGTTTTTTTTTTTCAGGAACGTTATTCCCAAAACTTTGAAAACATTTCTTTTCTTTCGCCTTCTGTAATTATTTAGCAAAACGAGCTGCCATTATACTAGGCATGGGTAGGTAACTCAGGGAATTTTCAGGAGTTGACGCAGTGATGCCGAAATGCCTTGGTGCGTCAACCCAACGAACCGGCACAGTAAATTTATTCAAACCTTCAAAAATTTATTCAAATGACATGAAATGCTGAATTTTGCGCGCTTCGTAATTGTTGACTTGAAAATGGACGCTTTTACGGAAGTGCAGGCTCTTCAATAAAAAATTCCAACTCCCAAATTAAAGCCAGAGAAACTTAAAAGATTGACATTCTGTAGAAGACGTTTTTTTTAAATGAAATTTTGGCGTAAACCTGCATCTAAATGTCTGATATTCAAATTTCGTGTGACTTTTTGTTATACCTGAATCCAATTACCAATTCTCTATCCAATGATAGAAAAACGGACTCTGCGACACAAATGGTTCTTCAGCAACGTTAAAAAAGGCTTGACTTTTTTTTAAACAAAAGAACAAAACTGAAACCCATATTTGCAGATTTGAAACGGTTCACTGGAGACAAACTTCAGATGAGCTTGATGTAAAAAATGCAAAGCCGGCCAAAATATTCCAGAAGTTTAAAAATTTCTCGCGAAGGAATTAATGGTTAAATCGGAACCAAATCCACACTACCAGTAAGCTGATGCTTCTTGTATTGAATACTGGAACCTTAATTTCCATATCTGGAGCGGTTCTTTAGCGGAAAACTTCAGATAAACATTTCCAAAGTTTAAAAAATTACTTCAAAAGAACTAATAGCTCACTCGATACCAAATCCACGCTACGTTTATGAATATAGGAAGTTCTACAAAACATGGCATCTAGGGACAAAGTAATGCTAAGTTTACCGAAAGCTGCGAAGTGCCTCCTGGAAATAAAGAAGAAAATGTGTTTGGTGCAGCAGAAAATAGGTCTTATTTGAAATTAGCGAAGCAAAGAGACAGAAATAGAAAAAATCCGTAAAACGTCAGTTGCTTGCCGGAAAACTAAACTCAGTTCAAGCTAAAAGATTCATATATTAGAGATCATTCTTACCAGCTGTTTGCTAGCTGGCTCCTCTATTTTCTACCTATTAATTCTCAAAAGTTTACTACACTTTCACAATCTATCGCGATTGCCATATTGTCCCAATGATTCTATATTTCCCAGCGAAAAATATTATGTTTTACAATGTCCAGTGCTCTTCTATAACCAATATATTTATTTCCTAACATTTTTGAGGTTTTGGTTTTGTCTCAGGTTTTTTGGTTTCCCCAAGTATCATAATTTCTGAGTCATTATCGTCGGCTTCTCTGTCTGCTTGAATGTTCAGGTCTCCGTCGTTGGTTTCTTCTGATTGTTTTTCTTCATTAAGTATTAATTTTTGAATTCTTCCTTTGCCTTGGTTGCCTGTCATTAAGTATTTTCTTTTCCAAATCTCCATCCATGAGTTCTACCATTCTTTGGATGCATTATCTACTTGTAGATCGTTATTCCATGAAAATTATTGTGATTGGAATTATGCGTGCCTGCTTATGTATTGGATCTTCCGTTGAAATATCGTTTGTGGTATATTTTGTGATGCAAATTTAATTAAGTAATATCTTATTAAATTGATGAGAATATTGTAATTAAAAAATGCTAATTTGGTACTGTCTGTAAGTCTGAAAAACAATTCATCATAGCACATCTTAACATTTTACATTATTTACGGAGGGCTAAAACATAATATTATATACCTATAAAAATATTGAAATTAAAAATGATTATCGGATAATATTACCATACATTTTTATCTTATCGTAATAAAAAATTAAATTAAGAAAATTAAATAATAAAAGATTAAATAAAGAAAGGACGTAACCCACAAAATAAAGAATTTACATGGTTTATTTGCATATGGCTGAACTGAATTGTCCGTCTGAACCTGAATTTAGAGAGGTATTTAGGAAATATGCTTGTTTAACTGATGTGTAAAGAAAAAACAATTACTCACCTATTTTGTTATTTTTTTTTATCTGTTATAGCATGTTTGAAGCATTTTTTTAAAATGTGTTATTATTTATTAATATCTGCAACATGAGTTCACTGTAGTAAATCTTCAAATAAGCTTTCCACCGTCTAAAAGCAATTTGCTTTCCAGGCTCGTTGATTCGAGTGGCTCTGTACTTCTGCACTTTAAATATGCTTTATTCACACTACCTTGTATTAAAGAATATTTTAATTACATTTAGAAAGTTCACACTTTTGAAGATACGAAAAATGTATTATCTAAAGTTTTGACTTCTTCAACATCTGTAGTAGAAAACGTACTAAAACAGCATTAGACTTGTGATTCAGCTTCTATAAAGTATCAGTGTAGGCTTTTTGTCGGTTTTAATATTATCCGCGTATTATATTTGGACGATTTAGTTGATTTGGTAATTTTTACGAGTTTAATTATATTACATATATATTAAACTTATATAAAAATATTTTCTATAAGTTTAATTCCAATTTAATCCAAATTACATTTATTACGCGAGTTGCTTATTTAGGAACGATTGTATGAGGGAAAATACACCGGTTAACATTATTGTTGATGTTTTTAAAGTCCCGAAGGTTTCCATGCAATGGTTAAACTACAAATCAACTTTGACCAATAAAAAATAATTGGTATTTAATTTTTGATATACCTTTACATCGCTGAATAAAATTGTACTAACGTTTTTTTATCTAGGTACTTTCGAAGTAATTTGAATAATACCATTCTTATGGGTGCTAGTCGAGATGTGTATGCTAAAGCAACTAGCACACAATTTATATCTGTGTCTTTATTTAGAAAAATGCTTTCGAATTATTTATACCTTGAATTTTGTGTTACTTTATCTTTATCTTGGAAACATTTCTTTTTCACCAGTATTTAAAATGTTATTATGATATAATATAGTTAAAGTGTAGCACAACTTGAATTACTCGTTTTTTGTGGAGCAGCAAAAAGACATTTTACTAGATTTCCATTTCATCGATTTCAAATATTGTGTGTAATTTTGTATAGTTTAATATTTTCTAATAATAAAGAATATCTATAATTATCAAAAACATAACCACTTCCACTTATTTTCAAATCATCTAACAAACAAGTCGTGAAAATTGTATTTTATCTGGTGCCTTTTTCATAATATTTAGTTTCTTATTGTTTGGGTTTCAAAAATTGTATTTTTTGCAAATACGTTTGATTCAATCCTCTAATCCGCTTTCTTGTCATTTCGAAAGAACAGTCCAAATGATCTATTATGCTCATGCTGAAGTTAGTTTTTAAATAAGCCCTGCAAACTCGAAGAAGAACGTCTTCGACGTCAATAAAAAATGCAAAATTGCACGACTGGCAATGGGATTTCGTTCTTATCCCGATTTTGGCGAGTTTTCGGCAAATCATTTTTAATCCGGGGTATGATTAGTGCTTTAGGAGCCTCTTGAGCTGTTTTCTGTATGGATGTGAAACGGTTGGTCGATGATGTTTGGATATCAGCGCTTACCATTAGTGGATTCCACGAAATAGTTTTCCATGGGCCCCCGAATGGCTTGTAGTGCTTCTCCTTTAAAATACAAAGTTAATAGCATTGATTTCGTTTGGGTATGCGAAGGCAATACCTAAGAGTACTACATTTAAAAATTCAAGATACATTGTGTTTAAAATCTGTAGAAAAATGCATCTACGTACAATGTAGTCGTTGCAAATGATATTTGCAGAAATTATGCTGCTCCTATTTATGAGACTCGATTGATTTATTTCTTAAGATGTGCTTAGAAGAAAAACATCTTATAGAATCTTTTAACCAAAAGTAGTCAAATATGTTTTGATTCGAAGTAATCATCTTATCTATAGATGAAAAATTAGGTCACGATATAGTGTCTAATGTTGGTTTGTACTGATAATGGCCTGTATTAAGGATCTTGAGCAATTTTCTAAGAAAACTAATAATTTTTCTTTCAACTGTCATTGAAATCTGTTCTATGTACCACTCTGTGGATAATAATGAACAATTCCATTGCTTGTTATTCATTCCATTACATGTTCATTACATGTTCTCTTTTTTATATAGTTACAATATTTGCTGCATACTCTCGCTACAATTCAATTGGTTTTCTCATTTTTTCACAGTATTCCGAGCGAAACTTT